TTTTGTTGTCATACTACTTTAATCGTTTAGAAATTCTTTGCAAACAGATGCAAATCAGGCCTACCCCCCACCCCTACTAAAACAGGAGCGATAACCTGCTGCTGAGCCCATTCTGCAGTCTTCATTTAGTGTGTGACTACAACAACAGGCACCTGACGCTGTTCACACGTCTCACACACACCCAAAATACCCTGGGTCGACACGGGAGTATGGAAACATGGATCCCGTCTCTTACAGAAAGCTGCAGTGAGCCGCATTTCAAAACTAAGTGAGGCCTTCGGGCAGCTGCCACGCTCACAGCCAGCAATGACATCTCCTCTTCTACTCATTGCCCAGTTAGTTATTATAACGTCAACAGGTTAAAAAACCAACACCATCGTACACCTTTCTGTGCAGAAGCTGTAAAAAACGTATCCGGAAGTTATCTGAGGAGTTGATAACATTGCTTTGGCTAGTCTTTCCCATTAGCTAACCATATGTAGCCAGCGCGAAGACCCACAGCTCACAAACACTTTGAGCTACCTTGTGTTTAATTTTAAATATCGCTCATCAGTAAAATACATAAAAGATCAGTATTATTTTTTTTAACTGGCGTGCTTTTGTACCAAAGCCTCACAGTTGATTAGCCATTAGCGTTAGCTTGTTAGCAGCGACAGTCCACGACACAGGCTCGTCAAAAGCAAGCCCTACATTTACCGTGGGTCAGTCTATACTGCGTAAACAAGATGGTTGTATGGTTCTCAAGACAGTGCAGTTACGGTCTGTTAGTATTAAGCGTTCAAGCACAAACAAACAGTGCTTCCCTTCCATGTGGCCCCAGCTGAACACAACAGCGAGCCGTAGGCCCACGGAGCACCAACCTGGACTGCCAGTCGTTCCAGTGTGGCCGCAGTTTGTGGGCGCCGCTGAGCCGAGACCCTGTGGCTTTACGGCTCATTACCTTTTAGAGCGCTGCATGACCTACTGTCAGCGGTAACTTATCTCTCCGCAACGTTACTTTTCTCTATTATGCTTTATCAAACCTCACAAATAGGTTAGCAACTTCTTGTTACAGCTAGCTTACGGCACTCCTTCTTCTTTATGTTTTTTTGGCAGTTGTCAAACTAAAGAACGCGCATTACCGCCACCTAGCCGGACTCTAAGACAATTACCCCAAATTCTTAGGACCAAATTCATTTGCCTGAATAAATGACAATATTACATTATTGAATACGTTTGCAGAAAGTCTCGTACACTTTAATATGTGTGTCTCTACGCCACATGTTTGGCTATATGGCGTATTATTTAAACTGTGATCAAAGCTGAGCAATGATATAAGTGACACATCTCTCCTGTTTCTTCTGTATCCATAATCCTAAGCAAAGGAATTTACTACTAATAATAATATCTTTATTGTCAAAAAAATCGAACAAAATCTGATGCAACCCTATGACTGCAAACATTTTTAAAGGCTTAAAATATGTCTGTAAAAATACAACAGCAAATACATAAATAAATAGAGTAGAAGGTCTATAACTATGCATAAAAGTCTCAAAAAAGTAACCTTAAAAATGTCTGACAACTTTGTACTTCTGTGTGCTTGCTGGTGGTACTTTGTAACCAGGGGTGGGTCGAGTATCCAAAACTTGTACTCAAGTAAGAGTAGCA